ATTGACAAAGTTCTTTCGTTCTAACTATGAAATTGTGTAGGATTCGGAAAGGGAAAGCATGTGCAAGACCAGAAGATGAAGAGTGCTCCAGAGAGCAGCCAAACTTGGATGGGTTTGGATCAAACATTATGGGAGAAAAAGAACGGCTAAACCGTCTGCTTATTCGAACCGTCTGCTTATTCGACCATTGCCATCGGAACCATCACGTGAAAACAATGCAAATCCTTCAGCTGTTGTAATTCCATCCCCTGCTGCAAAACACGTTGAGAGAGAAAATACTTGAAGGAGAATAAAGGTTGATGGCTCTGCTGTGGCTGGTCATTACACAGTCGTAATGCTAGCAGTTCTCGGAGCGGGAGCTTGGATTTCACTGACTAACCATATAGGTTTGTTCTTTTCTACGATATATCTCGGTTCCTATGATATTCATCGCTAGTGCTGTCAGGTATCGGTTGAAGGAGTGACTGAACCTCGGGATAATCATGTAAAATGCCGTTACGGTTGGAGCAGTCTTATTTGATGTTCTATGTTGCTCGTCTTGGAGGGTGGCTGGCCGTTATTGTTGCTTTGATCGAGTTGTGGAGTCGAGTTCATCCTATCCTTCCGTTTCTAGGAGTGCTTGTAAAGAGGATTACTTTCCAAAAATTTTAGTAAAATACTCTTTGATGGCAAGGCTATTGTCTTGGACCATTCAGTAATCCGCAGTTATGGTACCAGACCATGTTCTTTTTCTCAAGTGTTGATCATGGCATACATATTTAAGTATAGAGAATGACGCTCTAAATATTCAGGAACAGTTGCAAAATTTAGAATATCTGTTTTATAACATTCAACTCGGTTTTTCGGTTTTATTTATTTATTCACAACGAATCCGAATTTCTAACATCGGCATTGTTAAAATTCGAACTTCTAATATTTACTTGAAGGATCTAATGTCTCGTATTCACTTAAAGAATCTAATGGGTAATGAGTAATATATATAACAATCAGAAGTATGATCTTCGGACCATGTCAGATATGCCAATAAAAAAATGCACCCAAAGAACAGTTATTCAAAACAATGAAGACGTCTTTTTCCTTCAGTTGAACAATCCGGTCATAAATAAATTTCACGTTTGATACAAAGCAAGCAACATCAACGATCCAACAGAGTTTTTGAATTTGGTTTGACAGAATATAACAATAGATAAAACAAGAGCACGATGATAAGCCTGCTTCGATGAACAGAAACAAAGGAAGCTTAGGAAGCCTCGGCTGCAGGTTGGGTCACTCCAAACTTCTGCAACAACTTACTAAGAGAATCGGGTGAGCAAACCTGGTACTTCACATATCCAGAAGGTGTGAGGAAAACCTCGGCCGGTTCAAGCTTCTCCGAAGTAAGGCTCGTGCTGTCCATGGTTTTACTCAGCACCTTAAGCGCAAGTTGCACGGCTTCTTCCCTCGTGATCTCGTCCTTGTAATCTTGTTTTAACATCGACTGAGGCTGCTTGATTATTGGCACCGATAGCTGCAGCCTTCCATCCACTGTAGTTCCCACTAGGGTCACTCATGTATAGCTGAAACCCGTAGTTTTTGTCCCATCCTGCAAAAAGAAATGAAACACTGAAAGGGCGGAGACCGCCAAACTGCGTATAACCCTGCTTTGTGTCGCACAGAGATTGAACCAACTTTTCAACAGGCATTGGCTCTTGGTTAGCATACGTGTATCGTTGTGCTTGCACCCGAGCAGTGTTGATGAGGATGTTTGCATCGGACATTATTCCCGCCACGGCACAAGCAACATGATCATCAATCTTGTACATCTTTTCCGTAGATGTGGAGGTTTGAAGAAGCTTGGAAGTAACTTTCTTTTCACCAACCAAGACAACACCATCCTTCGACAATATTCCGATCGCAGAACCAGCATTTCCAATGGCTTCCGTTGCGTACTCTACTTGGTAGAGACGACCTTCAGGGGAAAAGATTGTTGTGCGGCTATCATATCTCCGAGACATTTTTGTTAAGGCTGATCTAAAAAGTTATCTAAAAACCGAGGAAACAAAAGAGCTAGTCACATCGGAACAAAGGAAAATAAACCAAGGTTTTCAAGTGAATATAGTTTTTCATTCTACCAAATCAAATCCATTTTTGACATGGTAATTTCTTTCTTCGCACAGGGTGAACCGAGAAGATAAAAGACACTTAGAGCAGCAAAAACAACTAATGACAGACATCCACAATCCACACTTCTAATTCATCAATCAATCATTCAAGATGCATGTAATGTAAAGAGCGAAATGTGTAAATCATGAACATGACATGGCATCATAACATCAAAGAACAAAGAGAAACTAGATTTTTCAAAACCGATGTACGCACGACGAGCAATCTTATATTTATTATTCTTTTGAAGGAAGCAATCTTATATTTATTAAATATTCTTTCTCCTTCATTTCCGATAGTTTGAATCCGAAAAGGGCAGAAGGTATTCCAATTTTCAACAGAGGTTTGGAACACCACAAGTTCTTAGCACTCACCCATTCCAAATTGCATGCTGCAAACCCTCGTTGAATATCTTAACTTAAATGAATCTTCTGTCTCTTTCAGATTTTCTTTCCCCCCCCCCCCTTCAATCCTTCATCATACTCATTCAATTATCTCAAACTAAAACGCTAGATTAAACCTAATGCAGGAACCAGAAAGCTACCAAGCATGTATTGGATCATAAAGACAGATAAATTAACAACCATTTTTAAGTCGGAAATCGTCATGGATATAAATACTGTAAAAACTCTTTTCAGTGGATGGTTTCATAAATTTCGAACAGATTCAAGCATACATCCAATACCCCCACACAAGAATATCGACGAGTCAATTAAAAAAGAGAAAAACTGGACACTGACCTTTGAGCAAACGTAAAGCCATTTTGAGCTTCAGTAGAAGTGGGCCGGCCCAACTTTAGGGTCTGACTTGAACATATCCATATCTTCTGGTCCATGCTTTAAATTTTATTCATTATTGTGCAATATCGACCCTAAACCCTAAATCCTAATGTCAATCAAGATTAAGGATGGTTAAATTATCCAATATCTTGGGTTTTAACTTGGATCGAATTTATAGGATTTTTTAAAAAAAGTTTGGGTTAAAGTTGGATTTTTTGAAACATTCAATTTCGAGACATATTTAGTTCAAAGAGCCTTTATTTTTTTGAATCGAGAATAGAATAGTATAAAAGATAAAAACTAAAAATGATATCCCTTACTAATAGGGATAGGCATGAACCAGAACCCGATAGGATTCAATCCGACCTAACTCAATCGGCTAATTTTTTTTCAAAATACAAGATTCAGGTCGGTTTGAGTCAAGTTCGGGTCTAAGATGAAAAATGTCCAACCCAGAAAAAAATTATAATTTAACCTTATATATTTAGGAGTAATTATAATAATAACCATAAATATATTATTTCCTTTCAATTAAATCTCTACTTTTAAATAAAAATAATATTTTTAATAAATATATTATTTCGGGTTGGTTCAGATTTTATCTCAAAAATCGAGTCGGATTTGGATCAGGTGAAAGGGGTATATTTTTTGGGTCGAATTCAAATCGGGTGGAGGATTTAAATTTTCAAATCATATCGAGTGGACCAAAAATCCGATCCAACCTGACCTATGTTCATCTCTACTTACCGGATATATCAAAGATATCGCCAACTTTATTTAGTTTTCCTTTAAAGATTTCATCAACAAATTTTTTTCCCTTTTAGGACGGAACCCCTTATTTTGGTTACCAATTTAGAGAAAAATGATGTAAGATATGAAATGTAGTTCATAATGTCAACTAATAAAAACGCATCCCTATTGTTAACAAATTACAAGCTTCTACATGACGATGAGATTTTCACTTATTAGTTTACCTTCTTATTCTTACTCCGTCTATTTAAAATAATTACAATGAGACGTTCATCATAATAAAAAAATTTATTAAAACATTTTTTGAAAATTAATTATTTCACAAATTCCTAGAACTCGATTGAGTTTTGTTCGTTTGGACCACACTAAACCAATACATAATGATATCTTGAAGCATAGATGTCAAGAGAATTTGCCAAAGCCCTTAGAACTGGTAATTCTCTTTTCTTTACTAGGTTTGTCCCGAGATTATTTCCGAGGTTGTTTCTAATGATATTTTTAATGGGTAAGTCTTTCGGGTACTCTTTTCCCCTACTTAGGATTCAGAAGGGGTTTTTGATGAGACCCGTAAATTTTCAAAAAAAGAAAGAAAGAAAAGCACTTGATATTGATTCTTGGAATGGCCATAGCCGTCTCATGTCGTCAACTTGAAACAAACCACTGAAGCAACAATATATATGTATACATATAAACTACACAAAATCTAGAGCTGGAAAAGAGGTTCAGGTTTCTACTCTGAGAGAATGATATTGACAACTTGTAGCTCACAAATATAAGTTATCGCTTTGTAGGTTAAAGGTTCGATGCATTGGAAAGTGCAGCAGGGCCTCAGCTCAAGTAGTACGTTAGTAGCACAAAAAATTTGAATATCAGAAACTGAATTTAAGAAAAATCGGTTTTTTTAAACCGGATAGAATATTTAAAAACCGGATAGTATAACCGGTTTAGAAAAAAATTGGACAAACGATTTTTTTACCGGGTTAAAAACCGGTTTGAAAAAACCGGATAAAAAATCAATTTTTATCCGAAAAAAATCCGGTATGGGGTTTTAAAAACTCACCGTTAATAAAGCTATTGGGGTTTTTTGTAATTTTTTGTTCATCATGGCTACAAACCAATTTTTTTATATTCGGATTTTTTAAAAATTCGCTTTTTTCAAACCGAAACCGGTTACACCATCCAGCCCTTCAAACCGGTTAAGATCCGAACCGGTGTTTTTAAAATTCCGATCTGGATCGATTTTTTATCCGACTTTGTGCATGTCTATACGTGAGTCCTCTACAAAATCTATATCCTACTAATATAAATGTTAACTTAAGCATTATCCCAAAACAGAGAAGAAAAAGACGGAAGGGGGCATATCGGGGGATTCAAACATATTTTCTCCACTCACAGAAAGTTGGAAAAGACAAAGAAGAGAATTTACTGCCTCGATTTCTGCAGAACACTAACTACACTCGAAATATCTGTCAGCTGCTGCTTAGTTTTAGCTTTCCACTTCACCAAGTCCTTCAACATTTCCTGTCAAAAGTGGAGATTCCAAATTGGCCTTTTACTCGCATGCAAATCCATTGACAGTTATATGTATATCTAAAAGAATCACTTGGATTGGAAATACACGGTCTTATGCATGTCTGAAAAAAAAAACCTTTGTTTGACATCACCTGAACCAGAAGCAACGAATTATCGGAATCCATCTTTGAATTGGCAGTTACAGATGAATCTGGTGTCACATTAGCTTGATCTTCCCCTTGCCTCCTAGGAACTCCTATATCCTGCACAGAGCTATTCATAAAACAAAAGAGAGCAGCACCAACGTTAAGCACGATAATCTTATCTCAAACTTGGTCACGAATGTTACATTACCTCATTATTTTATCCATCTCTTCATTAATCATATCCAAGTCTTGAGCACAAACGGGGTTTTCAAAGGGGTTATGGCAAGGTCGTTGCCATGCTAGTGGGGCCAGATCTGAATCTTGAACTACATCCTGTCCGAAATTAATCAGCTCTGGATTGTCTAACCAGGGTCCCAAGTTACCCCCTTGAAAATTGTCCAGGTTGGTGCTCTCCAGCCAATCTTCCCATCTGTCAGAAGTTGAAGGACTAAAGATAGTGCATTGCTTTGATGCCTGCAGACTGCTCAATGAATCTGAAATTTCCAGCATCTGCTGCTCAACTCTAGCTTTCCATGTCATTAGTTCTTTGCACATGTTCTGCTCCCAAAAGGTGAAATCCAAGAGCTCTATTCACTTACATGGTAGTTTTAGATATAAGCATGCACAAAATTACAATCTTGTAACAAAGACAAATTTACTGATTGAAAACAGGGTATTGTTACCTTACCTGCATACCATTCAATGAACTTGTAAACTCCAACAGGCGTTTATCTGTCTTTCCTTTCCATTTCACCATTTCTTTCTGCATCTCCTGTACAATAAAGAATTCAAGACCAGCGGCTTATCTTACTAATACAATTAAAATTTCATTTCAAAATATTTCACATTCACCTCAACTGAATTAGCTTGATCTTGCTCTTGCTGCTTGAAAACCAGCTCCTGCATATCCCTATTTGCAAAGAATATAGGGTACTTGAGATGATAAAAACAAAACCATGAAAAGCTTCATCTTTAAAAACCATTACTTATTTTTTTCACCTCTTCATTTTCGCCATTTCTTCCTTAAGCAGTTTGAGTTCCATAGCACTCGCAGAAGCCTGAGAGGGATCCCCGTCAGGTTTCTGCCAAAATGGGGAAGCCCCAGCCTCCCTTCGCTTGTTGGCCAGGTCAGCACTCTCTAGCCAATACTCCATCACTCCACTAGTGTTGTAACAACGCCGAAACCTATCAGTACCTCCAGGTGCTACCTTACCATCAATGTGCTTCAGCAGATGGTCCAAGAGCCCAGTATCACCAATAAGTTTACGGGCTGCCATTCTCAAAGCAGGCCGAGATATTGGATTCTCATACACAGCCCCTTCAGCCTTCATGATCTCTAACATGCTTTCTTCAGCCAGATTATACCTTCAACATTTGTAGCAAATATAAGAAATTTTAGGATAAACGGATGGGAGAATTAACCAGTGGGTAAACGAAGTTTTCACCTTTCAGCAGACCATCTCTCTATAGAATTTTTATGTTTGTTTTTCTTTCCCTTGTTAGCACCATTACTTGGGCTTTGTTTCCCACATCTGGCAGTCTTTTCTTTTCTCAGATGGCTGGAGAAAAGGCACTTTCTCTTCTTTACTTCCGGGCATGAAACATGGTTTTTATCATCTTCATCATATTCTTCCTCGATTTTGCCATTCAACTGTTTAACAGGGCTATCTCCTAGAGAGCCGAATAATTTAACTTGCCGGCAGACACCCCGCTCTGCCATCCTGGACTACTTCAGTTCAAACCAACAAAACCCTTTCTCAGATCTTCCAGCTACTCCTTCACAACCTCAGCACAGTTCTGACACACCCACATTTACTGTTACAAATAACACTGAGAAATTTGACTAATGCAAGCAACACTTCTCCTAAACATGACAGCCTCAGAAAATAAGAGCAGGGATTAAAACTCCTGCAACCTAGAACAAATCGTCTTTTAGACCACTTTAGCCATAGTACTTGGAAAAAATTCATTAATGGTTCTACCCCAAACCTAATTTTCCTGTTCTAACTTTTACTGGTTTTCATTTTCTTTACTATATTTTGTACTGAATCATTTGGATCAATATACTCACTACCTCAAAGCATTTCAGTTCTTAATTACAAGAGGCAAGATAAAAAAATTAAAACAATGATTGCAATAATTTTTTCAAGTACTACAATCAATAAATGATCTCTACAAACCCTAGAATATCTGAATTGAACTTGGAAACATAACATTTGAATGGACTGGATTATTGCTTCCATCAGCCAAGGTGTAATCCTACGAATCTAAAGAGGAAACAGAAGCAATGAGGAGGAATAGCGCAGGGAATCTTTAGGAGACCAAAAGCACTTCAAAATTTTCAAAGCCAAACAAGAGTTGTGACATCCCCACCCTTAACCCCAGGAATTTGGATAGTGATGATGTGAGAAATAGAGCAATTAGTAAACAATTTAAATGGACTGCCTTAGGGCATCCCACTAGCAAATCTTGATGTGAATCGAGGTAACAAGAACAGAAGGCAAATAAAAAAGGATATCCATCTGTTGGCCTATCGCCTTCACTTTGTTTCACTGTTGTACTTCTCAATCCCTCCCCTTTGGTCAAACACTCAATCAACCTGGTGGGGAACTCTAGTTCTATCACTGAATGGACCACCTAAGGAAAAGCAGGGAAGAAATGCAGACAAAAGACAACAGATTTGAAGTTGATCTATCTAATCAGGAACTTTAAAAAGTTAGTCCAATGTGAATAGAGTATTGAACTATAAAGGAATTGCAAACACAACAGGTGTCCCATTCACATCCAACCCAACCCGAACCCCAAGCCAAGGTGATGATAAGTAGCACCAAATTTAGAATGGCACGTACTTAAACTTGACATAACCAGTATAGCACAATTCCTTAATTTTAGCCACCTCTGCCGTAATTGTTTAAACTGGAGTGGTGGTTGTGTCCTAGAGGAAGGGGTAACGCCGTAGGAATACATTTCTTCGCAAGCCAGTATTTTATCCGGAACATCACATTCAAATAACAAGACACCATAAAACATGGTGCCTTCGTCTAGACTTCAATTGTGCTTTCCAATTAATCAAAAGGTTTCTAAAATCTAAAGTCAGCTTCTTCACTGAAAGTATCAAGGGCTTTTGGAGAAAGGATCAAACTTCTACCCTAAGTTCTCCAGAGAGAACAAGAATAAAAAAAATAAAAAACAACCCACTAAAACATCAACTTCCAGTTCGTGCTCTTACTGTTCCCTCATTTTTTTCTTCTCTTTTTTCAGGCAACCAAGCAGAACGGTAGATGAAAGAATTTACATTTGAGTGGAAAAAAGAAAATGATTGGCAAACAAGAAATTACGGCGACGGCGGAAGAAAGAGGTTTACCTTGAGCAAGAATGAGACGTAAGCACCAACATTCAATCCATTCTAAAACCCTGACTTCATTAACGGAGAAGAATGTTGAATGAAATTAAATAACAAAAAAGGCCCTTGAATTAAATAAGGAAGAAAGTACCCTTGTGATTTTGGAATCGTTGACAGATAAATCTCTTAAAAAGAATACCAATAAGAACAGAAAGGTTTAATAGGCTCAGATTTTACATTCTAGAAACCCTAATCGGCAAAATCCCCAAAAACCCTTTTCTATTTAATTCTGAAATTACCTTTTTTCTTTTTTTAAAACATCAAAATTTAAAAAATGATATTACGTCAAAATGATAAAGTATCAATCGAACAATTCACTAACGATCGCTTAAATTTATGACCTTAAGGGTGTGTTTGGTTGGGGGAATGTAGGATTCTCATGAGAATAAAATTTTTATTTCCCCGTTTGGTTGGCTGAGAATGTCATTTCTGGTAATCTTACATTACTAATAGTGAATTTTCTGGGTATATTACCGAGAATGTCATTACCTCACTTTTCTTAGTTATTGTTGGATTGCCAGCGTTTTGTAGAGATGGCAAAAAAACTCGTACCCGACGGGAAAAACTGAAAACCGAATTAAACGGGAACGGGAAAAATCGTTTATGTTAAACGGGGACGGGATGGGGAAAAACCGTTTATGTTAAACGGGGATGGGGATGGGGATGAGTTTAGTAATCCCCGCCCCGATTACCCGACCCGATATCCGACCCGATAAATATTAAAAATAATTATTATATATATATATATATAATATTAATAAATTAAATTTAAATTAAAAAATATATATAATATTTATATATTTAATTTAAATATATATACCTGGCCCGATACCCGTTTAAATAACCGTTTATGCTAAACGGGGATATTCGTTTTCCCGTGGTTTTCCCCGATGGGAATCCCCGTTTAAATCCCCGCGGTTTTTTAAGCGGGGACGGTACGAGTTTTTTAAACAGGGACGGGACGGGGGGACCAATACCCGGCCCGAACCCGGCTTGTTGCCATCCCTAGCGTTTTGGACTAAAACGCCCTTAAAAAAAATTCTTTCAAAAATATCATTATTCTTTCATTGAATAATAAAAATTCTGCGAATGTTAAATTACAAATTTATCCTTAAACTATTTTAGATTTACAAAAAAAATATATAATTAAAATTTTATATAAAGTTTAGGGGTTAAAATAAAATTTTACCCTTTCATTAAACATTTTTATATTTTCAATTTTGTAAAAAAAATTATATGAATTTTATGAATTTTGAATTTTAATTTTTTAAAGAAAATATATAATATTTTTCAACTTGTTAAAAAATAAATATATAATAAGAACAATTTGGTTAAATATACATTTCAATAATCTTTATTCCTTTAACCAAACACGGTAATCTTACATTCATGCTAAACCAACCAAACACAAAATACAACATTTCAGTAATCCTATTTCATAGTAATCTTTTATTCCCACTGGTAATCTTACATTTGTGAACCAAACGCACCCTGAGGGGACGCACCCTGAGGGGGTGTTTGGATAAGGAATGTGGGATTCTTATGGAAATAGAATTCACATTTCATGTTTGGTTGGTCGGGAATCTCATTATCGGTAATGTTTTATTATTAATAGTAAATTTTTGGGGGTATATTACTGGAAATGTCATTACTTTCCTTTCTTTAGGTATTGTTGGATTACCGGCATTTTGGACTAAAATGCCCTTAATTTTCCCCCCAAAAATATCATTCTTCTGTCATTGAATAATAAAATTCTACAAAGGTTAAATTATAAATTTATCCTTAAATTATTTTAGATTTATAAAAAAAATCTATAATTAAAATTTTATATGAAGTTCAGGGGTTAAAATAAAATTTTACCATTTCATTAAACCTTTTTATATTTTCAATTTTGTAAAAATATATATATAAATTTTATGAATTTAATTTTTTTAAAGAAAATATAAATGTTTTACAACTTGTAAAAAAAACAAATATATAATAAGGATAATTTGGTCAAATATACAATCCAATAATCTTTATTCCTTTAACCAAACACGGTAATCTTACATTCATGCTAAACCAACCAAACACAAAATACAATATTCCCAGTAATCCTATTTCCTAGTAATCTTACATTCCCACCGGTAATCTACATTCCGTGAACCAAACGAACCCTGAATGTTGCAATAACAATAGTATTGATTGGGTGTATTATATAACCCTTCTTGACATATCTTAAGTTCAATTTTATTGTTAAACACCCAATAAATACTCAAATATCTTATAATTACTGGTGTTCGAATTCGAAATCTCTAAAGATAAACATACTGCTATTATTAAACTCGCAACCTCGTAAATGTTGCAATAATAATAATATCAATTAAGTATGTTATCTAACAAGATTTTAAAAATATTATATAACCCTTGCTCGCTCCGTCCTACTGACTTGAAATGACACTAGATACTTTAAACAAAGTTAGAAGTTCGAATTCTGAGGATTGCGAATGAAACAAATTGGGTAGGAGGAGTCACTTTTATCTTCGTAGTACCCGATCCGAATTAATCGATCAATAAATCTAATAAACAGTTGAATAGTCAACAAACCAAACCTTGTCAACCGTAGCACCAATGAAGCAAATCAAGGAGAGTGAACTTTACGAAAGTAAAGCGTGAACATCGGCATTATCAGTTTAATGAACCAAAAAATTTCACTAATCGTATAGTATTTAAAAAAAAAATCGAGGAGAAAACCAAGATTAATAAACTTGTCAAATCCTAGATTCAATTATTTGACAATGAGTGCTCATGTTTTCTTGTGTACGTCATACTCGAATTCAAAACTTCAAGAGATAATAATAATCCTTTAACCATCGAAATCGTTTGGTGTGTTTTAAAATCACCTAATATTATATTAGGGATGAAGCCACGATTAAGAATTGATAGAGACGAAAGATTAAACTTTTTAAGAAACATATAATGACTTATTAGATATTTAAACTTAAAATTCAGAACACAATATTTAATTTGTTTAATATTTAAATTTCAATGACCTAAATTGTTATTAGACAAAAAAATTGAGAATATTAGATTATCATTCTTTAGTTTGACCCCTACATTATTAAATATATATATTTTTAATTTGAATACTTATTTTTATATAAATTAAAATACTATTATATCAAAATCAATAGATTATAGTTTTTTTTACAGAAGCCGGGATCGAAGAGCGGTGTAATTTAGGTTGGTTTTAAATATTATTGCGATTCTTAAACGTAAAGTTTAACATAAATTTAAAATATAAATTAAAATAAAATTAATTAGAAAATATTTCTTATTAAGTGGTAATTGGAAAGTAGTTCCATTTTATTTATTATATTTTCATATTTTTTAATAAAAATACATTTTCTTTATATTTATGAATAATAAAAGTAATAAAATAGATGGAGGAAAAATATAAGCTTAACAAAATAATTAATTAACTATAATCATTAATATTTGTCAAATTGGTCTAAAATTAGAATTTTATAATACAGCAGTAACAGAATTTAAACCAAATTCCTCAAACTAAGTTTAAGCAACACCTACGTGATTAGCAATCCCTGTCATGCTGTTGTTGCTTCCCATGTAAATTAAGTTTTTATTTTTTATGACATCATACTTTGATATTTTATCGTATTATTATTTAGGGTAAAGTACATAAATGATCCCGTAATTATAGAATATTGTTTTATTAAATTTATCGACTATTAAAAGTTATGAAATGATCATTTGATTATAGAATGTTACTATGTTAAGTCTCTCGACTATTAAAAGTTACAGAATAGTCTCTAGACTATTTATTATGTTTTAAACTCGTCATTTTTTTTGTTAAAAAATTAGTGGTTATCTAACCTGGATGTTAACATGATGGGTGAGATATAATAGTCGTTTGAGATTCTGGTATTAGATTTTATCGTATCACAATCAACAGGTTAACGTTCACCTCATAATACCATCAACTTTTAAAGGAAAATGACGAGTTTGAAACATAATGAATAGTCAGGTGACCATTGTGTATCTTTTAATAGTCGATGGACTCAACAAAACAACATTCTATAGTCGGAGAATTATTTTATAACTTTTAATAGTAGATGGACTTAATAAAGCATCATTTATGTGGTTTACCCTATTATTTAAACAAATAATATATTTTAAAATTTTCAGGTATTGTCGTAATATGAACAAAAAAAAAATTAAGAATTAAGACTGGTTGGGATATCTCTCTTGTAACCTGTCCCCTAGGCCTAGTCTTTCTATTTCCCTACATCAACTCCATTGTTTTTGTGCTTTTATAAGACCAATTCCACTATAAAGCTCCTATATAAGCTTAATAAAGCGCCCTTTGTAAATTCACTAATCACCAATTTCTCCATTTAGATTTCTATGGCTTCACTGTATCCTACGTGTTGTGTATTATTTCTAGCACTGACCATAGTTGCACTACATATTTCGCCGACTGTTTCGACGTCGAGGCGAGTCTTCGTGGGTTGGCATGAGCCTGAACTAGGGTTTAGGGTCACGCTCAAGCACATCGACTCGGGTAAGAATTTAACCAAATGGGAGCGGATCCTACGTGGGATAATTCGCGGGCAACATAGGCTCCAGAAGTTGAATGATATGGTTTTGGCAGCAGCGGGTGGTTCGGTCGGAGTTAAAGCGCCTATAGCTGCGGGGAACGGTGAGTATCTGATGTACTTATCGATCGGGACGCCACCGAAGAGTTACTATGCGATCATGGACACCGGTAGCGATTTGATTTGGATTCAATGCAAGCCTTGCTCTCAATGTTATCAACAATCTGCCCCGATCTTCGACCCGAAAAAGTCTTCGACATACGCCAAGTTGCCGTGCAAGAGCCACCTTTGCAAAGCACTAGCGCAAGCAACATGTGGTAATGGGTGCCAGTACACATATTCATACGGTGATTATTCCTCGTCGCAGGGTGTGATGTCGACCGAAACATTAACGTTCGGCAAGGTGTTGGTTCCGAAAATCGGATTTGGGTGCGGAGAAGATAACGAGGGCGAAGGGTTTTTGCAAGGCGCGGGTCTAGTCGGACTCGGACGTGGAGCACTGTCTCTAGTCTCGCAATTGAAAGAACCCAAGTTTTCTTATTGCCTTGTGCCCTTCGATGACACCAAGAAAAGTACACTTTTGATGGGGTCTATTGCACGAGTGAATCGCACATTTGGTGCGGTCAAGACCACCCCAATGATACATAATCCCTCGCAGCCATCATTTTACTACCTTCAACTCATGGTATTTCCGTCGGAAAAACTCGCTTGCCTATCGATAAATCAAGTTTTGCACTCCGAGCCGACGGTACCGGAGGCCTAATAATCGATTCCGGCACGACCATTACGTATCTAGAAGAAAATGCTTTTCACGAGGTCAAGAAAGAATTCATCAAGAAAATGAAGCTTCCCATCGACGGTTCGGGCGTGACCGGACTCGACCTTTGCTTCACATTGCCATCAGGCGTTACCGAAGTAAAAGTTCCGAAATTGGTATTCCATTTCGAGGGCGCGGATCTGGATCTACCGGCTGAAAATTACATGATCTCGACACGGAGTCGGGATTGGTTTGCTTGGCGATGGGAAGCTCGAACGACATATCGATCTTTGGCAACATCCAACAGCAGAATACGATGGTCCTTCATGATCTCAAGCAGAAGACTGTATCGTTCGTCCAAACACAATGCCACAAGTTATGAACGAATTCCTGGCCTATTTGAAAGAAAGAAAATTCAATTTTGTTTTCTTAAATTCCATTTGGAGAAGACAGATCCCATCATTTTAAATAAAACCAACGCTTCTCGCTTGAATTTACTAGTAACGCTCCTGAATTTTCTTATTAGCAATCAAATTAGGGGCCGATGATAAACAAGATGTTCCCTATTACCAGTAGAAAACCAGAAAGCAATAACGGCGGTTAATTGTGAGTGATCGATTTGTCACTGATCAATAACGTTAGTGTTCAATTTGTTACTTTTAAAATTTCAGTAAGAAAAACGAAAACTTACTTACACATTACTGACCATTAATATAGTTTACCCTATAATATCGCTTTTAATTCTATCCCATCGATAATCCAATTCAAACCTCAAATGAATACTATATGTTACTAAGATATCGGAGACAAAGAGTTAGAAGTTAGATAGTGATTTTCTTCTCAAAAGCACAAGGCTTTGAATTTTACTCGTACTGAAGTCTGAATCTTCAATACAATGACTGTAGAAATAATGGTCAGCTATGCAACAACCCTTTAGGAATCGGTGTCAATCAAAATTAAACATTTGAAATTAGTCAAGTTGAACTCGCTGTAGGCATGAAAGGAGAAGGCTCCTAAAATGCTAGTTTCTGCTCTCAACAGTGCATCATGGCCAAACCTGTCACTCCTAGGAAACTCCAATATATGAATGATTGATGATCTAGAAATTAGACTCATCAAGCTTTCAAGTTTGTATAACGTGGGTTTTTTCTGCCTGTGTATTGGTTCTGTTTTGAGATTGATTTCAAGTCAAATTTTGCATTCCGGTGGCTTGATATTTGAAGCATGAATCCGAACAACCAGTGTTATTTTCTGCAATATAGGTGCTCTCGTGTTGCTTGAAGAAGAATCTTTTGTTCATTTGCAGAACTTAGCCTATATGAGTCAACATGACAGGAAATCACATAAACTGTTGACTTCTCCTGTAAGATCTTCGATTAAGAAACCTGCTAACATCGGAACGAAGTCCGAACACTCATCGCACGCAGGAATCTCAAATGATGGTGCCTCTATATCTCTACTAAATTCAAAGGATACCGATCGCTATAGGGTGTAACCATCCACTCTAGCAATATAGGAAACCATGCAAACTCAGTAGCAACACACCAAAATTATCTTGGGGGGGGGGGGGAAATATCGTAAACAACTCGAGTCTCCTCTGAGAGAACCAATGACTGGCGACATGAAAGAAGCAATTTCCACCAAAGTAGAGCCGAGGGAGTACGGGGCAACATGCGGTGAACTTCCGGATCTTAATCTTCCCGTTTGTCCTTCGCAACCCGAGGTAAGCAATTGTATCTCCAAACTTCAACAAGAACATATGAGGACTTGATCTCATTTTTGTCAATTGTTACACTCGGCCACAAGTAATTCAATTTTGAGGTGATTTTCATGTTTGACTTGCCTCGTTTCATGTACTGATTCCACTTACAGTTAAACTACCATTATTAGCTGTACCTGTAGGTGCTAATCTCGTTCAATTGCTATTAAGTGTGTAAGTAATAGTTATTTATCACATTTTTGTGATATAAAAACCATCTCAAAATTCTATTTACTAAGTTTTAGTTTAAAGGAATTGTGAGCTTGAATGTGATAAAATGCAATTGCTTGTTATTTAGTGGCATTGAAGATTATGAATAATTACGTAAAAACTTGAGTAGATTGCATCGTATCTTATTATATTAAGAGTATGGTTATAATTGAATTATTTTATTTTGAAAAGTTAAAATTGCATGAAAAGAGGTCCTAGCGGTTAAAGGGACGGTTGTTATTCATAAAATTTTTAAAATCAACAGATTGTGAAATGTGTCACTTAATGGAGAATTAACTCCGATGACGGTCTAGACACCTAAAATGATAACATTTGTAACGTTAGGTTATCCAATAATTGATGTATAGTTTTACACTTGTTTTAGTATTAAGCCATATTAAAAAGACATCTTAAAAAATCTACCGATCGATTATATTTTTGAGAACAAATAATATAACTCAATTATAAATTTACATGTAAAGATCCCAACCCTTTGTTTTTATGTTTTGGAGGGAAAGAAAACGAGAAGCTTCTCCAGCAAGTTTAAGATCAGATTACAAACGAGCCCTTTTAAAAGGAAGAAGGATTGGAATTTGCGGAGATCGTGAGGTTGAGGGAAAGAAAACATGTCGTTCAGAGGGAAGAGAAAGAATGCAGAGGGCCACGCTTCCGACGAGAATGAGGGCCACGCGCCCCCTAAGAAGGCCTCCAACACTTCTGCTGCCGTCGACAATGACGATTCTGACAACATTGTCGTCTGCGAGGTCACTCTCCACGTGCTCTCGCTGTTTCCCCCTATTTATATATATTGTATTCTATTTCATGGCTCTCTTTTTTTCTAAAAAAATCGCGATTCTAGGGTTTTTTGCCTTTGGAATTTTCTTTTTGAATTTTATATTGAACAAAGTTAATGAAATGTGGAAATCATTTTTTTTGGTTCATGGCTGCAGATATCCAAGAACAGAAGAGTTTCAGTGAGGAACTGGAATGGGAAAATCTGGGTTGATATTCGTGAATTTTATGTCAAGGATGGTAAACAAATGCCTGGCAAAAAAGGTAAGGACTTAAGCATCAAGCCACGCCCTTGAGATTAATGAATGGTTTCCCCCCCCCCCATATTATTTTGATTTATGGGTTTGATTTCCCACTGTTTTTTCACGTAATTAGACTTCTCGGAGTTTGGAATCTCTTTGTAATAGAACATTTGTTTGATGGATTTTTGGGTCAGATTTGTCTCGGAAAAGTTTGGCATCTCTCTTTCTTCTCTCCGTTCTGGTTCTACACTGTATTCATGTTAGCATCTTTTTTTCCCCATGTCATCGTTATAATATACATGGACTGACATCTTCTTGTTCTCCTAGGTATTTCTCTAAGTCTGGATCAGGTATGAATCAGTCACAAAGTTATGCTTTCTGTAATAAATAATGATGGGGGCACTTCACTCATCTATTTTTCTTCCGGTTCAGTGGAACATTCTGCGTGATCATGCCGAAGCAATCGACAAGGCACTTGCTGAGAACTCGTAGGAAGTAGACATGGTAGAAGATAATGGGCATCTTTTTGTAGATCTTGGCTTGTTTTTGAAGTTGCTAAACTCGTATGGTTTTCACTTTTCAGTAGTCGGACGACCCTTTTGTGTAATTAGTTGTGTAGCTGTTAGGCTAAAATATGTGCTGCATCTTTCATGTTGGATGATTTAGAGGAAATAGACAAGTCTTATCATTTCAGGTTGAACCTTTTGGCTTCTTTTTTCATTTTTTGAACCATTAGCAGCACCAAGTTATTTGGGCTTGAATACAAGTAGCCTTCAAAATACAGGAATCAAGTTCCACAGTAACAAAAGTTGAACGAGCTAAGACAAATAGCATTGTAACATGCGTACATAACTAATACTATCTAACAACATTATAGTTGTATCATACAAATCTAGTCTGCATATATAGAACATCACAGTACACAAATTGGGGGGGGGGTGTGTGCTTAAATCGGATAGAATTCACCTTTTCAGAAGTTCTCCAATAATAAAAGATCTGCACATTCGAAGCCAATCAATCTGACGTAGCAAGGGCTGATTGCAACACATCTTCAATATATTTTTCGGCAGCAGCATACATCCTTTTCTTGTCCTCGATTGCTAAGGCAGCTAAAGCTTTATCCTGCATAACAAGAAAATGGCAATAATGAGCCCTTCCCTCACTATCAGTGAGGGCATAATTAGAACACCGGTGGCCAAAGAGAAGCATGATGGCTAATGAAGTCAGTTGGACAAGAGGACCCTCGCACCGGTACCAAAGAGATCGATATAGGAAATAAACGCCAAGTATAGTGGAGTAGAAATTTTTTATGTGTAGAAAAAACATGAACACCAAAGCATGGTAATGCTCCAATGGCAATCATAATAACATATTACCGGAGGCAGGTCCTGGTAGCTCCTCAGAAGTATCTAAGATGGGTTTGGTCTTCTTCTCCAAATCTTTCTTGTGCTCAGCCATTTCCACCAACACCCCATGATTAATTTCAGTGTGTAGCCCACGCGATTTAGTAATGCCTGTCAAACAAGATTAAGCATAAATGAAATGCAGAAAGAATTCATGAGAGCAACATATAGGTGATAATTTGATCACCAAAATCTTTAATAAATTAACAATAAGGGGAAAAAAACAAGAATAGCTACATCCTTGTTTCATAATTCTTAAATCAACCAAAGAAAACATTGCATTCTCGAAAAAGGTCAAACGAACTGCCACTTTGAATTTATGAACTTAGTCAAGCAAATTGGCTCATTATTTACCAAGGCAAACTGAATATTTATACGTAACGCATATCATATAACCAAAGTCAGCTGTTTTATTTCACCATAAAACACATTCATTTTCTTGGTAAATCAAGGATCAGCACGCCTCAAGTATTTTCTCCATTCAATTAAACCCTGCCACATATTTCTTACCCATTTATGCCCTCTATCACATCAACTTGGTAAAATAGATGTCATCCTCTTTGGAATCAAATTCCAAGACCAAGTAAGTTAACCCTATTCCCATATGTAATGGGATAAAGGGGAGGTAGGGTAGTAGGCTTACCCCAACGCTAGGTTGAGAGCAACTTCCGTGGAAGATCTCCGGCAATTAGGAATTGCCCACCGTGGGACTCGATCCCACGATCACAAGGTTAAGAGCCTTGCGCTCTACCAACTGAGCTGGATAAACAATTCAAATTCCAAGACCAAGGTTGTCCTTAAATAGTAAAAGAAGTCACTTGCATCCAAGGAAGCCCATATATAAGAAGCTGCCCCCTTTGCTGTAAAGGGGTATTTTATCACATCAATTGGCATCCAAGGAAGTCCATATTTCTTGTAGCTTTTCGAGTATACTCCAGAAGAGTTTTGGACTCTTTGTGCACTTTAGCTCTCTTCTCATCTACCCCAGTTTTTCTCAAAGAAATATCACCCATCGCTACAAGAAAGCTAAATTCCATGTTTTTCCCAATCTCATTAAATTCCAAATATAATACATGAAAATCAACATGAACGATGCAAGTCTTAAAAATTGTAAATCGAAAGCAACCCACCTACTAAGTTCGGTGCCCCGAATATTCAACAAAATAGTAACATTTGCCGGAACTTGCGCCGACACAACCGCATATATCAAGTTATGAGCATTCATTGTCGAATGATTAACAATCTTTAAACATATATTATTTTGTGTTTATCTCAAATTTATCAAGAAAAATGTCTCATTTAAATAATTTATCCTAAAAATTTCCCCATCTCTAATGGGTCATTTAGTGATCCCATTAGTCTAAAACATGGATCGTCGTCATCATGGCCAAAGACACTCATATTTGTCTGAATAAGACAGATTCTTTTGTAGATTTCCCCAAATGACAGAACTGGATCAAGCTGCTAGCCGGACGTGCATATGGACCATAGTTTGCATTTTGTTCGGCTTCGTCGTCACTGGGGGTGGCTGCCTCTTGGCTTATGTTACCGTACCCGAATATCAAACTTCGGACTTGCTTCCCGTTCTCGGTATCATCTTCGTTTCAATGTCGTGGATGTTCTGGATCGTAACCGTGATGTGTCGGGTTATTGTTGCGGGCGTTGGGATTCAGGATGGTATTAGGTAGCTTGTACGTCACTCGTAATTCCGCAAAAGTTACTGGGGACGGCGATGGCGAAGATGATGCGGAGATTGTTGACGTAGATAAAAATGATGGTGAAGCTAAAGATATATCCAATGCTTAGTGAAATGGCTTTGGCTTCATCAATGGCATCGGGATTGTAGATAATTATACTTGAGCTTTTAAGGTCCAAATTAAATTCAATATAGTGAAATGTGTATTTTCAAAGGATTAAAATTGAATTATTGATAATTGAGAGGGATTAAAGTTGCTATTATTATATTTAACTCAAGATCACACTACATCCCCTATCTATGATCCTATCTTGTTGGTGTCACGCAGACACTTGCACCAATATTCCGGACCCAAGTATCACGACCCGTGACATTGATAAGAAACTATTTAAGTTCTAATTAAATCTAAAATTAAATTGAATTAGATTTTAGGAGATATACGCAAATTTTACTTAAAATATATTAAATTATTCATATCTTGATTCAACTTTTAACACTAAATGATATTAAATTATTTATCGTTTGATTCAACTTTTAACGTTACTTTTTTCTAGTTTTTATGAGAAAAAAAAGCTTAATTAAACATTATCATTAGTTTAAATTTTAGATTAAGGTTTAATTTCTTTATTTACTTTGTCATATCGTTAAATATATTTTTTAATTATATTTAAATTTATATCGGACCGGATTTTGAAACAGAAATAAAGACAAGGTTTAACCTTGTTTGTGTCGGGTCCCATGTCATCGGGAGGTGGCGGGTCGGGTCCCCTTGCTCCTATGTTTGACAGCAGAAAATTATTAATAACATATACTCTAATACTGTTGAATGAGTGAAAATATATGACTAAGATTGACTCGTTATTTTTTATTTTCAGTAAATATCTTCATATTTTCTACTTTTGATTATAATCATCTGTTTTCACACATTCAACTATCCTAAAATTAAAGAATTTTACATTGTGTAAGTGAATATATATATATATATATATATATGAACTTAATTAACATCAAAGATAAAATAGAAGAAGAAGAGATTGTTAAAGACATCCAGTTGTTCTTACCAATGTCCAACAGAATCAAAATCTTGCTACTGTAATTGCTTTTGAAAGGAACCGGAAGAGAAAGGCAAGGGAAATGGTTGGTCCGATGGAACAAATGAAGGGTGATGAGACAAAACATTTGACGGTAGAATATACATTGTTGTTGTTGAAACATAGATTTTGTTCATACTCCGATGGTTGTTGCCGGACAAGTTGTTGTTTTTGTCGCTTCGGGGACACAACCTTCTCCCCTTCGATGTCTATATTTGCTTAGGTACAGTTTCAGGGGTCCGACGTATTCCTCGAACCCCAACGTCGTGATTGCCCATATGATGTCATCTCCGTTTATCTTCTTCCTCTTCTCCCTCCGGCACTTTTCCGAGGCTTCCCCGGTGACGAAACTGATGAACTCCGACACGCATTCCTGGATCGTTTCCTTTGCGTCATTGGAGATCTTCCCGTTGCTCGGAATCACTTTCTTCAGAATCCTACTCCCGTTCGCTGTAGGAAGGAAGCGGTCTTGATCTTTATTGTTGTTGTTGTTGCTGTTGTGATTATTATTATTGGTGTCGATGGTATTATCATTACGTGCTACACGCGGGCTTCCAAGTTTATTAGTTTCATGTGTCGCGTTTTCGTGACTAATCTCGTCATCCATTTTTTTAGGATAAAAAATCTCTCACGATCAGAATTCGATTCGGATATAATTAAATTAAATTAACCATTATTATCGACTCGATTAAATTAACTTTGACAAGAGTCTATTAGTTAAATCTATTAACAACAAAAATTGAATTAATCAATCTTTATTCGATTCAGTTAAGGATTTAAAAAAATTGATTTGGTGAATTATTATTAATTCAATTTTAAGAAATTTAGTTCAGTGGGAGATCGACCGTTTGAACCCAAAAAATAAGAAATAATATTATCTTATATATACCTTAGAATTAGAACTCTTTAAAAACTTTTGAACTTGTTTATTTGGGTTTTGTTGGCCCATTTGGTCTCTGAATTTGTTGTCCTCTTTTGTTGTTAACCTTTTTGTTGATTAAAAATGAGGACATTAACAGATTTTAGAATTGTGATTTAACTAAGGGTTAATTATCCGTTTAGTAATTAAACTGTTAATTTTGATTTATTTTAGTATCTAAATTTTTATTTTTTTCAAGACCAAACCTAGAGTTTAGTTTTTATTCCATTTTAGCACCTCTGTTAAAAACTTAACGTTAATTTTTTTTTTAAAAATAAAAACTAAAAGTTTAAGTACTAAAACTGATAATTTAGATACTAAACTCGTAACGTTTTTAATGACGGAGTACTAAAATGAAACAAAAACTAAACGTTAGGTATGATTTAAAAAAAATAAAAGTTTAAATACTAAAACGGAACAAAACTGATAATTTAGTTTGCCCTAAAGATAATGGTTTGAATTAATTTTCACTTGATTTTCTTAACATTGTTGTCTGTTCTAGTTTATGTAAATGTTTCACCCGTAACATCATTTTCCATTAAAAAATTAGTGTGATATTAATTACATGAAGCGTTGGAAACGAAGCTTCATTAATGAAAAAGAGAGAAAAATACTAAAAGCCTACTAAACATGATACAAGCTACAATGGCATATGTGAGCGTCTCGATCTCTGTAGGTCGCCACATGGATTTCTCGACACAAAGCAAGCCTTCCTTATCCTTGGAGTATTTCTTCTTGACTTCCCAGTGCATGAACCGGAACATATCCTCCAGCTCGCTCGTCGTCTAGACATTGTCCCAAGCAATGAGCTTCCCTCCCAGCCTTAGTATTCGATCGACCTCGACAACCAAAGCCTTGAAATTGCACCTACGTGCTCGTAAACCGTAGCACAGTTAGAGGGTGAAGCAGATGATCAATAGCACATTATGGCTCATACTGGAAACGGGGACATAGGTTGCACACCAAGGCAGATATGATACCAACCTCTTTTTAACCATTGAGAAAATATGGTCGGCATGGAGAAGACCGTACCATCTCGGATAGGTACTAAATGATTCACACCAATCATGATATAGACCAAACAGACCCCTTTCAAATATTATCGGAAGTGTGTCCGGCGAGTTGATTGGGACGACATTCATTACCCAAAAATTCTTATCTTTGAGTGCTGCAGCAAATCTGAGAACAAACCCATAGTCAGAATCCAGGAAAAGGTGATGAAACAACAACATAACGAAAGGCATAACGGGGCGATCTGTTGCTTACCCTCCATAAATAGTTCTCATGTCCATGACATTTTGAACATATAACCAGTCTATTCCCATACAGTTTATGTATGACCTGGTGAC